GTGGATGGGTCAGCAGGGACAGAACAGCTGGGTCACCCTGTGTCTTTAACCCAGTAGCCAGTCACTGTTCTTTAGAGGGACACGGCCCATTGTGTAGGAATTGATTGGACATTTTTTCATTTGCTACTTAATTTCACAGCCTCAAAATGAAGAACAAAGAACAAATTGAGTTGAGGTTTAACTTTACTGCAAGATTAATGAAAATTAAATAGGTATCTTAGAAAATGCACAGGGAGGGGCATGCAACTTGTTGCATTGTCATGAGGTCAGCTTTAGGTAAGCTTCAAAAACACTGAAAGTTAAAAAACAAAACACTGCAGCACAGCACTTGTTCAGCATTGAGGTTGCACAGATAAATGCTCTGGTAAAATGGCAGGTATAGCAGGTCACACACCATGAAAAAGCTTGTTACAGTAACCCCACGAGCAGTTTCAGTCTGTGTCTCTTATGCTGCTTCTGAATTTCATTCTGGATGTTTAAATGGAAGAATGTAGAAATCAAGGTTGACATATAGTGCTTAAAATTTTGTCTGTCTCCATTAAAAAGTCCTGCACTGCTGCTGTCCCAAACTAAAGAAAAATTGTTAAGAATATAAATCTAATCAAAATAGAATTCAGTTTTAGAAATAATGGCTTTGAAGGCCAACATGTTTGTGAGGCTTCTGGCAATATTCTCTTAAAAGTCTTTATGGCTGCAGCAAGAAAACAGACATAAGGAACTAGGAAGTTAGTTCTTGGAGGGAGGTATTTTTACAGCAAGCTAATAAATGTAAATTTATAAACTTCATAAACTTCAGCTTACAAAGTGTCAGTTCACACAGACTGAGCAGGGCAAGGGTGCAGCTGGAGCAACACGTGCTGACTGTTCTGCCACAGAACTGACACAGCTTTCAAAACTTAACAGGCATTAATCAAAATGCAAAGATTACTGTAGCTGAAATGTCTCTTTAAACAGCACCCACCAGTCCCAAGCACACTGCATGATCTGGCACCATGTGCAGGGACATCTCTACAGCCCAATCCTTCTGCTGGACCTGGGGTATTTGTGTGCTTAGCAGATACCAATGGCACTTAATGAACATGTAGTTAGACATGGAAAATACTGCTGCTCACTAGCCCTGTATAAGAAGCAGTTAAGAACTGTAAATAAGATACAAAATGCAGGAGAGACACCAGCCTGTGTCTGCTTCAGGTTAATCTGACCTGGCCAGAGGAACCAGGGCTTCCCATGAGCTCTACACCCACCTGCTGCTCCCCCAACTTCTTCACTTTGATTATCAAGTAATCCTGCCACAGCCTGTGCTCTCCCCAGGAGACCAATATCAAATCACTTTCCCTTGAAAAGGTTAAAGGCAATGAATTTTAAAATCCAATTTTGCCTCTGGTCATGGAGTAGCCGAGCTTGGCCTCGTTGTTGATGAAGGACATGAGTCCCAGGTAGGTCTCGATCAGCAGGGGCCGCTCCAGCACCAGAACACCACCCGCCCTTCCCGGCAGGGGACACTCCTTGTGGGCCTTCTTCACAGCTTGAATTAGCTGGGTTTTAAAGTTCTCCAGCTGAAAGGAAAAAAAAAAACAACACAAAACAAACCCAAAACAAAACACCTTGATGTTTTCCCATTGTTTTAAAAACGGGCAAACAGCTGCTGATGTGAATGGTGAGGGATTAACACTGAGGCTGGGGTGGTTGTGGCTCCCAGCCTGATAAGCTTTACATTCTGAACATGGAACTTCAGCAACACAGTGAACTTCATACCAGGACACTCTTTACACAAACTTAAACACAGGGGCTGGGTGAGTAAAGATTTATCACTGACTGATGCTGTTTATTTCTGACTCTGTCCCTCCTGCCCTTACCACTGATGTGTTGAACTTAAATGACCAGCTTCAAGGAAACCTCCAGGGGAAAGCAACTGTTGCAAGAGACACTGACAGCCACTTCAGTGAAGCTTTACAGTTGAACTATTTGCTTAATGACCTGGCAGTCCTAGATGCAAAGTCAGGTGTCAGCCTGTCAGGTAAGCAAGAGCAGGAACAGCACCAAGATCCATTTCCTTTTAGGTGTGACAGGACTTTGCACCTTTGAAAGCTTCAGCTTCCTTCTTGTACAAGCCCTTTATGGGTTGCTGGCAAAACCTGACAGTCAAAATATGGAGAGTGGGGGAATGTAGCTTAGAGCTCTAAGTTCTGGCTCTGAGTAACTGCTCCTGGTTGATGTAACTGCTGTATCTTTTCAAAATAATCCAAGTCACAGCCAGCCTATGAGACAAGCCATCTAGGAGAGGTGACACCCTTACCAGGCAGAGGGAGGCAATCTTCTCATCAGCATCTGCCATGGGGTGCTGGGTGAAGGTGACGTAGGGGATGTTGGAGGACCAGGGGTTCCACCTGTTGAGGAAGGAGGCCCTGCTCTGCTTGTCCCACTGGATTCGGATCCCAGAGCCCTCGCGCCTGATGTTGGAGAGAGCAGGACATGGTGAGAGTTTTGCCTCTTGGAGGCAAGCTGAATTAGAAATGTGCTGTCTGAAGAAGGCCTGCTTAAAACTGGAAGCTGAAATAGAAGTTTGATGGTAAGTTTTTCCTCTAGAGCAGTAATAGAGGAATTTAGCCCCTGAAATACACACAGGTATCTTCTGAAAGCTGAGTGCAGGAAGGTGAAGCTTGTTGGACACCTAGGAAACACAGGAGGAACTGCAGCAGCCAGGGCTCAGGGCTTCCCAGTGGTGCTAAGGTGCTGCTACTGTACTACACAATGGTGCCAAACTTCTGCTCCCAAATCTACTCCATCTTACCCTAGAAGTCCTTGAGCAACTCGCTGCTGCTGTAGCGAACTGTCCCAGCAAAGCAGCAGCTGCTCTGAGCTGCTCTAATGGAGCTTCAGTAATGGTTTACAAAGTCACAGGAGCAAAAGGAAGAATTCTCAGGCTTGTCCAAGGGTCAGTGACAAAGCTTGACAGCTCAAACTACTTAGAAGAACAAAAGAATTACAGCAGCATTACAGCACTGCCACATCAACTTACCTGTTCAGAGACTTAGGTGGGAACTGAAACTCTCCTACAGAGATGGTATCAACTGCACTGAGGGAAATCCTGGTCACATGCTGGCACTGCAGGCTGATGAAGTTGTATTTGCAGATCAGGAGGGACCAATCTGTGATCAGAACAAGACGCTCCTTCTCGTTGTTCCAGTGGTCAATCCTGGAAAGGTAACACCCCTGAGCTTTGGCAGCTCTGAGCCCTGACTGGGAACCCTGCACAGCTTGGCAGATAGAGTCCCTAAGGAGAGCAGCTCAAGTCTTAGCAATGCTGTGTTTCCCATTATGGCCTTTGCTTTGAATCAGCAAGTCTGAGGAGAGGTTGATTTTCACAACACAGTCATGCTATAACAGGAAAATATGAAGAAAATCAGCTTTTAAACCAGCACCTTTGAAATCTGCTACAGCTTTTTTTAATGTTTCTGGTTTGTCTTTCCC